GAGGGAGAAGTTGAGCATATTGGAGGGAATGGAACAAAGTTTGGTTTGAGTGGAAGTTCGGACAGATGGGAAGTGGTGGTCACTGGAGACAGAGGTAGAGGTAAATTACTGGAGATGGAACAAATGTTTTAGGGGAAACAGGAAGGATGTGGGCAGAGAACAGGGGAGAGCTCCGTGAGAGAGCTGGGATAAAATCATCTAGGGTGAAGGGAGAGCACTGGGTATAGGGAACACATAGACAAAGTTTGCTGACGGGATTGAATGGGGATAAAAGCACATTTCAAGGATCTGTCACACAGTGAAAGAGAGGGATGTGCCTGGCTAGAGGCCAGGGAATGGGGTAATCACAGGAGAAACTAGTGGAGAAACGCGAGCACAGCCTGAGGTCAATGAGACGAGGGGAAGTAGCAGAGAACATGCAGCTTTTCAAGATCAGGTCCTAGTTTCTGCCCCCTGAACATTTTATGATGGGAATACATGAGGTTCAGAAGCCAGTGGGGGCTCTTTCCTGGAGGAAAAAGAAACTCAAGAGACACACACCGGCCACCTCTATCCCACCTGCCCTGAGGGAACTGAACTCACATTCAAGCTGCCATTCACTGACATGGTCCTGAAAGATCAGAGGAAGTCTGATGGAGAATGTGTAAAATGACTTTTCTTGTTCCATTAGCTCCTCATTGCTGAAGTTGCTCCTGGACCAGGGCCGCAGAAAACTGAAAGCGCCCGTCTTGCTGTCCCAGCCATGAGTCTGCAGCCCATCCAGCCAAACTGAGCCCAGATTTTGTGTCCAGGAATGGTTGTAAAAGGATGTTGTCAAGATGGTTCGAAAAGAGACTGGTTCCTGGAAATCTGTGCCACAGGAACAGATAGACTGAGGAAGAGAATGGCATTGGGAAGGACAGAGAATGCAAAATTGAGGTGCCAGGGAGGCCACCAAAATCCGGAGGACAGGGAGCCATAGTTCTCTCTGGAGACATGTGCTGCCCAGGAGGCCCGAGCTTCATACCCTTCATTTAGAAGGGCAGAGGGACCTGGCGTCAGAGACGCTCAGGAAGGAACCAGGCTGACATCCCTCACTCCCCAGGTGTGTGGCAGGGAACCTACACCACAAGTGCACACACAGGTATGTGCACAAACCCACTGACACACCCACACACTCAGATTTATACATGTATGCACACACATAGGTAAATATGCAAACAGACATACATACACACATGCGGACACAGAGACTCACACACAGGGACCTATATGCACACACTTACACACACATGCAGACACACAAGCACACACATGCACACATGTGTACACACTTGCACAGGACGCACAGACTTGCACACGTGTGCACATATGACACACATGCGCGCGCACACACACACACACACACACACACGTTCCCACCGGGAGTCCTCACCGTCGTCAGTGTCACCACCTGGGACAAGAACCGTGAGCAACACCAGTTGCAACAACAGCATCTTATGTGCAGATGTTCTTTCTTTCTCTTAGAAAGTGGGTCTTTGGAGTCTGTTCTCACAAACCTCCCCACACGCAGCCCCTCTCTTCTGACTTCCTTCTCAACACACACGCCTGCCCTGAGTCTCTGCGACAATGCAAATGGGCTCCGCCCTCAACCCTGGACACCTACTCAGACTCTCACTTCCCCTCCGGGTCTGACCCTCCTCTCGGCTTCCAGCTTCTCACTGTCACCAGCCTCCATTGTGCTCCCTGAGGCCCTAATTCGAGGGCTGGGGAGCAAGTCTTGCATGGCATGGAAAAGGGACCCTACCTCTCGTGCCTTTTCTCCTCATCCAGACAGTAACCCATGAAGACACATGGCTCCCCAGCACCCAGCCCTGGAGCCTGCTGTCACCCTGTCCCTCGTGCCCTTGGGTCACTCCCTATGGACTTCCTTCCCTGTGTCACCCCCACCCCAGCCCATTCACATCTCTGACTTCTCACTGCCTGTGTTCAAATACAATATCAAGCAGATTGATTTGAAGGTCACCTTCCCTTAATTGGGAAGATAGGGGTCTAATCATGCAGATGACCTCCCCTCCTTGTGGGATGGAGAGGGAGAGGGTCCATGTGACAGAGGACCTTATTGGCACTCACCAGAGGATTCCTCACTGACAGGGGAAGACTTACATTTCTGGGCAAGGTTGGAACTGCACTTAGGTTAGCTGTTCAACAAGGTTTGGGGAGTTGGCCTGGCCCAAGCCGCCATTTTGTGCCCATGGTTTCCTTTTTAACTCTTGCTCTATTTGCTTTTCCAGATTCCCCCATGATTGCCTGTGTAACAGTGTCAGCACCCACCAATTCGCCATTATTCTGAGGGAGGAACCAGTTGCCACCACAGAGACTGTAGGACATTGAAACATCTGAAGAATTCCCTGTCTGTGTGACTTGCATTAATATACTCACGCACCAGGGGTGCCTGAGGGACTCAGTCAGTTAAGCGTCCGACTTTGGCTCAGGTCATGATCTCGAGGTCTGTGAGTTCGAGCCCTGTGTCCAGGTCTGTGCTGACAGCTCGGAGCCTGGCACCTGCTTCAGATTCTGTGTCTCCCTCTCTCTCTGCCCCTCCCCTGCTCACACCCTCACTCTCTCTCAAAATAATAAATATTTTTTTAAAAATTTTAAATTAGGGGCGCCTGGGTGGCGCAGTCGGTTAAGCGTCCGACTTCAGCCAGGTCACGATCTCGCGGTCCGTGAGTTCGAGCCCCGCGTCAGGCTCTGGGCTGATGGCTCAGAGCCTGGAGCCTGTTTCCGATTCTGTGTCTCCCTCTCTCTCTGCCCCTCCCCCATTCATGCTCTGTCTCTCTCTGTCCCAAAAATAAATAAATGTTGAAAAAAAATTAAAAAAAAAAATAAAAATTTTAAATTAAAAAATGTATTCACTCACCCGTCACTTAGCACCAGCCTGGATCCAAGAACCTTGCTGCACTCATGAAAATACAGTGTTCACAATGCAATCATTTTATTCCAGGAGCTTTTAGTCTACACTGGAGGAAAAAACACATAAACTGAGAACTATACATTTTGGTGCGCTGAGTTGGTGTTTTCTTTCCCTTTGGTTGGTTTTTCAAAATTCCATTGAACGTACAGTGTTATATTAGTTCCAGGTGTACAATATAGCGATTGAAAAATTCTATGCATTACTCAGTGCTCATCAATATAAGGATAATCCTACTCCTCTTCACCCATTTCCCCTGTCCCCCACCCACCTCCCTTCTGGTAACCAGCAGTGTGTTCTCTATTGTTAAAAGTCTGAGGGGAGCCTGGGTGGCTCAGTTGGTTAAAAGTCTTCGACTTGGGCTCAGGTCATGATCTCGGCAGTTCATGAGTTCGAGCCCTGTGTCAGGCTCTGTGCTGACAGCTTGGAGCCCGGAGCCTGCTTCAGATTCTGTGTCTTCCTCTCTCTCTGCCCCTCCCCTGCTTGCACTTTGTCTCTCTCAAAAATAAAATAAACATTAAAAAAGTCTGTCTTTTCATTAGTCCCTTTTTTCTTGTTTCATTTGTTTTGTTTCTTAAATTCCACCAATGTGTGAAATCATAGGATATTTGTCTTTCTCTACCTTATTTCATTTACCATAATATTCTCTAGCTCCATCCATGTTGTGGCAAATGGTGAGATTTCTGTCCTTTTTGTGGCTTAGTAATACTTCCTTGTGTGTATATATATTTCCTTGTACATATATATATACACCACATCTTCTTTTATTCATCTATCCATGGCCCCTTGTGCTGCTTCCGTATCTTGGCTAGTATAAATAATGCTGCAGTAAACTTCAGGCTGGATGCATCTGTTCATTATAGCGTAGTGTTTTCACATTTTTTAGTAAATTTTCAGTAGTAGAATTGCTGGATCATATGCTAATTCTGTTTTTAGCTTTGGAAGAACCTCTATACTGTTTCCATAGTGGTCCCATCAATTTGCACTCCCACCAAGAGTGTACCAGGGTTCCTTTTTCTCCACAATCTCACCAACACTTGTTATTTCTTATGTTTTTTTTTTTTTTTTAATTTTAGCCATTCCAACAGATGTGAGGTGATATCTCCTTACGGTTTTGATTTGTATTTCCCTGATGATGAGTGATAGTGACCAACTCTTCATGTGTCTGTTGGCTATCTGGATGTCTTCTTTGGAGAAATATCTGTTCATATATTCTGCCCATTTTTTTAAATTTTTTTTAACGTTTATTTATTTTTGAGACAGAGAGAGACAGAGCATGAACGGGGGAAGGGCAGAGAGAGAGAGGGAGACACAGAATCGGAAGCAGGCTCCAGGCTCTGAGCCATCAGCCCAGAGCCTGACGCGGGGCTCAAACTCACGGACCGTGAGATCGTGACCTGGCTGAAGTCGGACGCTTAACCGACTGAGCCACCCAGGCGCCCCTCTTCTGCCCATTTTTTAATTGGATTATTTGCTTTTTGGGGTGTTGAGTTGTACAAGTTCTTTATGTATTTTGGATACTAACCCTAGATCACACATATCACTAGCAAATATCTACTCACATTCAATAGATTTTCTTTTAGTTTTGTGAATAGATTTTTTTACCTGTGCAGGTTTTTTTTTTTTACATTGGTGTAACCCCAATAGTTTGTTTTTCTTTTGTTTCCTCAGGAGACATATCTAGAAAAATATTGCTGTGTTTCTCTGCCTGGCTTATTTCACTTACCATAATACCCTCCAGTTCCATCCATGTTGCTGCAAATGGCCAGAGTTCATTCTTTCTCATTGCCAAGTATTGCCCCATTGTATATATAAACCACATCTTCTTTATCCAGTCATCAGTTGATGAGCATTTAGGCTCTTTCCATAATTTGGTTATTGTTGAAAGCACTGCTATAAACATGGAAGTACATGTGCGCCTATGCATCAGCACTTCTGTATCCCTTGGATAAATCCCTAGTAGTGCTATTGCTGGGTCACAGGGTAATCCTAGGTTTTAATTTTTTGAGTAACCTCCACACTGTTTTCCAGAGCAGCTGCACCAGTTTGCATTCCCCTACCAACATTGCAAGAGGGTTCCCATTTCTCCACATCCTGGCCAGCATCTGTAGTTTCCCGAGTTGTTCATTTTAGCCACTCTGTGTGAGGTGGTATCTCAATGTGGTTTTGATTTGTATTTCCCTGATGATAAGTGATGTTGAGCATTTCTTCATGTGTTTGTTGGCCATCTGGATGTATTCTTTGGAAAAGTGTCTATTCATGCCTTCTGCCTATGTTTTCACTGGATTATTTGTTTTATGAGTGTTGAGTTTGGTAAGTTCTTTATAGATTTTGGATACTAACCCTTTATCAGATATGTCATTTGCAAATATCTTTTCCCATTCTGTTAGTTGCCTATTGGTTTTGTTGATTGTTTTCTTTGCAGTGCAGAAACTTTTTATCTTGATGAGGTCCCAATAGTTCATTTTTGCTTTTAATTCCCTTGCCTTTGGAGATGTGTCGAGCAAGAGATTGCTGCAGCTGAGGTCAAAGAGGTTGTTGCCAGCTCTCTCCTCTAGGGTTCTGATTCTTTCCTGTCTCACATTTAGGTCTTTCATCCATTTTGAGTTTAGTTTTGTGTATGGTGTAAGAAAGTTGTCCAGTTTCATTCTTATGCATGTTGCTGTCCAGTTCTCCCAGCACCATTTGATAAAGAGACTGTCTTTTTTTCCATTGGATACTCTTCCTGCTTTGTCAAAGACTAGTTGGCCATACATGTGTCTGTCCAATTCTTGGTTCTCTATTCTATTCCATTGGTCTATGTGTCTGTTTTTGTGTCAATACCATACTGTCTTGATGCTTACAGCTTTGTAGTAGAGGCTAAAGTCTGGATTGTGATGCCTCCCACTTTGGTTTTCTTTTTCAATATTACTTGGGCTATTCAGGGTCTTTTTGTGGTTCCATGCAAATTTTAGGATTCTTTGTTCTAGCTTTGAGAAGGATGCCAGTGCAATTTTGATTGGTATTGCATTGAATGTGTAGATTGCTCTGGGAAGTATTGACATTTTAACAATATTAATTCTTCCAATCCATGAGCATGGAATATTTTTCCATTTCTTTGTGTCTTCTTCAATTTCCTTCATAAGTTTTCTATAGTTTTCAGCATACGTGTCTTTTACATCTTTGGTTAGGTTTATTCCTAGGTATTTTATGGTTTTTGGTGCAATTATGAATGGGATAAGTTTCTTTATTTCTCTTTCTGTTGCTTCATTATTGATGTATAAAAATGCCACCAATTTCTGTTGCCCCCTTAATGTCCTGCTCTCACAATATAGTCACATCCCTTTGTAGGCTAATCTGTGTCTTTCTCATCATAACCTTCTTTTGGTTTCCTCCCTCTGGGACCATGCAACATAAGGATGGTTTTCCTGGAAAGAAATCTGTTCATGGCTTTCCTGGATTATTTCCTTTTTAGAATCCCTGGCCTCAATATTTTTACTCCTAATTATTGGTCTCCTACTATTTAACCTTTTTGTTCAACTTGTCTCTTCTAGAATCCAACATTTCCACATTCGAATGATGGTTCAACAGGGATTATACCCCTACCATCAGAGAGCTCCCTCCCCCAAATACCATGAACCTGACCACCAGGGAATATTCAAATCATCTATCAGTATGTTAATATAATACCATGCTCTGGTATATAATTGCACAGAACCCCTTGTTCAACAGGAGGAAACACACAAAAAAATGAGACCTCTCCCAAAATGTCAAAGATTTGTCGTTGTGGATGTGTCAGGGGGAATGTAGAGGCCACTCTGGGTCAGCACCTGGTATGTGGAAACCTGAGTAAAATAGAAAGGCCCACAGTGACCCCCTGGCTGAATGCCAACTGGCCCACTAGGAGACCCACTCAAAATATCCATAAGCCCATCTGACCAATGGGTTACTCATGCCTGAACACAGGTACCAAAAACGTAAAATTCCTTGCATTCCCATGCCTGCTTATCTTCCCCCTTAACTACAGCCCCCAACGCCACCGCCTTCTTGCCGACCATCTCTCCTGTCCTGCTCCCTGCCCTCTTGCAGTGTATTCGAGAAACTTCTATGTCCTTTGTTCTACCTTAAGTGAATTCTTTCACCACCGGCAATGCTGCCTCCTCCTGATCAGGTCACCCCCTGTTTTGCAAACTCTTGCTTACTTAGGACAGATGCCAAGGGCTCTATAAGCCAGAAAGAATAATCCAACTACAATTGTTAACTAATGACTGAAGGCTACTTGAATCCTGAGAGGTCCTGAGAGTCACAGACTTAGGAAATTTCCTGTATCTCTAGGTTTTTTCCCATTGACCTGGCCAGGGGGTCCTGACAGACTGGAGTTCAGGGTACACACCAGGGAACTGCTTCCTGGTGGTACAAGCCTGACTCCTGAGAGCAGCTCCCTCATGAGAAGAGGAAGAGGGCCACCATTCCCCACACAGAAAGGAGCCTTAACTGGGTGTGGGGAGGGCAGAGAGCCCCACTGCCTCAGGGCACAGTGAGACACAGAGTGCAACTGGGGAAAGAGGGAGTGCCAGTGGGGTAAGAGACAAGAACACACTTTGTCCCAGACTAAGAGTCTTCATCTGCTGAGCCAAAGGGGGGAACACTCAGAAGGCCCCTAGTCCACAAACTGAAACACAAAGCACCTGGCTGAGGATGGGACTGGACCAGAGCAGAGGTAGCACCCCCTTCTCTGTCCTAAGCAGGCCAGCCAGCAGGGAACCAAGAGCAGCTCCTGCTGGTGGGGGGACAAGAGGATGAAGATGCAACCCCTTGAGCCACATCCTGTTTGAAACAGAAAATCTCAGACCCAAAAGGATGTCATAAACCGAGTTCCCTCCCGGGGGCTTCATACCCCATCTAACTAATTTCAGTGGCCCCAGAAATGTAGCCTAAAGGAGTCAGGCAGGATATTTTTCTTTCCATCAGCACCAGTGAATCTGTCAACTAATGCAGCTAAAACCCACTAAAAAAGATGAGGTCATGTGCATGATGAGACCCCTTGCTCTTTCCCCAAGAAAGCATGCCTGACTCCTGGAACAACCCTTCTCATTTGCTACTAATTCTCCACCCCCACCCTCCCTCTAAGAACCTTCATTTGTACAACTCCTCTGAGTGCCGACCTGCGTGCCAAATCGGGTGACGCCCAATTCATGGATCAATTAATAAAGCCAATTAGATACTCAAATATACACGGTTGAATTTTTTTTTTACTCACAGTTCTACAGTTTGCCCCGGGTGATTAAATAATACAAATTAAAAAAAAAAAAAGAACTGGGAGGGG